CTATAAAATGGAATATTACTCAGCCATAAAGAGCGACAGAATAGATTCATTCATAGGAAAATGGATACATATTGAAGATATACTAAGTGAAATAAATAAGTTACACATGTGTAAATACCAAATAGTTTCCCTGGTGTGAATATTCTGCAACAATGCATAAGATTCTAATAAGATTACTGACATTTAGAAATTTGAAGAAAAGAGCTAAAGGTGTAGGGAAGGTGTGATACGTAGGGGAAGAACAAAAAGGGAAAAGAAAAAAATGTGAGAGAATGAAAAGATGAAAATAAAGTGTTTGTAGAGGGGGAGGGGAGGAGGGGGTGAAGGGAGGGCAGAGGTAAGGGGAAAAAATGAGAATCAAGACTTGCCATGTAAAGGTACACGATCCCAACAATGAATGTAACTGTACTGTATCCCTAAATGTACCAATAAACTCAATAAAATTAAATTAAAAAAAATGTACTCTCACTGACATCCTTTGGGAACCTGGTGACTGCTGCAGTAACAGAAGAGTGGGAGCTGCAGGGGCCCTCTGTGAGCTGCAGTGAAAAGAGATGAGGCCAGCATGGGCGACAGCCTCAGAGCGCGTTCCCCAAGCTGGCAGTGGCAACTTTACTTGGGAACTTGAGAGAAATACACAGGTTCAGGCCCCGTCCCACTTACTGAACTAGAATCTTCAGGGGCAGATCAAGCCTGAGCCACCTTCCCAGCCTCTTTAAATTTTGAGACAGTTTTGCTAAGTCACTTAAGTTACCCAGGCTGGGCTCAAACTTGGCATCCTCCTGCCTCAGCCTCCTAGAATGCTGGGATGGCAGGGATGTACTACTCCACCAGGCCTGGTCGGGAGCCTTGAAGAAAGTAGGGGAGCGGAATTGCAGAGTTGACCTGGGCACATAAAAGCATTGCCAAACAAGGGCACTTAGGTTGTGGGCCCTCAGTTACGTGGCCCTGATCCCTGTGTGATTGTTCTCCAGCAGCTCTTCCACAGCATGGAAACAAGTCCTGCCTCCGGGTGGATTCGAGGTTGGAGTAAGCACAGCAGACGGTCAGAAAGACTCCAGCGGGGTGTGGCAGCACACAGTTGTAATCCCAGCTACTTGGGAGGCTGAGGCAGAGGGATCTCAAATTCAAGGGTGGCCTGCACAATTTAGCAAGACCATCTCATAAAAAGGGTTGGGGGGATGGAGCTTAGTGGTATAGCACTTGCCTGGAGTGCATGAGGCCCTGGGTTCAATCCCCAGCATGGGGGTGGGGGCTGTATCTTCATTTATCCGGCAGAAAATTGAGTTTACCAACTGTGTACTGAATTTTATACCCCACCTCCTGGTGAGTGCATGTGTGTGTGTGGTGCTGGGGATTGAACCCAGGACCTCATGGTCCTGGTAAGCACTCTACCATTAAGCTACATCTTCATCCCTACATTTTTTTTTTTTTTTAAGACAGGGTTCCCACTATATAGTTCAGGCTGGCCTTGAACTGATTATGTAGCCCAGACTGGCCTCAAACTCTTGGCAATCCTCCTACCTTCGCCTTCAAGTGCCGGGTCTAGAGGCATGTGCCACCACACCCAGCCTCATGTTTGTTTTTTAAACATAGATTACTTAGTGGGGAAGGTGCTGGTTGGGGAATAACCCTCAAAATTTTGTTCACTTAAATGATTATTCATTTTAGATGGAAAAATACCTCAATACACTAATTTTACACAAGCTTTAAAAAAAGTAAAGGTCATATTAAATATATCTTTTGCGCAGCAAAACTAAACGGCAAGTACTTCCAAGACTACTGACCATACAAATAAAAGAATCTAACAAAGTGTGACATTAAAAGACATTTTATTTACTGACAGACTAAAAACCATAACTTCAAGCAGTGCAGAATGCACCACTGAATCCAATTACAAAGAACTGGTGTCAATACACAATGTTTAAGCAATGCTACACTTGTTTTTGGCAAAGTGCTGTATTGTTCACTCTGTATAAAACTGACCATCTATATGAACCAATCAGTATAAAAAATTCTATAAAAACAAAAAAATTTAGACAGTGGCTCAAGAAAACAAGCTGCCATTTATGCATAGATTGATGTACAGTATATAATCTAACCAAATGTCCCTTTTGAGTTTTTCAAGTTGATGGAAAAATGTGTATCCAGAAACACATCAAGAAGGCACATAGTACAATCTACAATACTCTTCAGTCTCCATAACTCATGCCCTGCCCTGGAAAAGCAAATGTGTTCACAATATTACTTGAGGAAAAACATAAAGCCACTTAAAAAAAATAACACACAATTATTAATTAAAGTTCAGAACTTGTGGGGGAAAACACAACCAAAAACCAAACAAAACCACTCACGCACTCCAAGCCTGAAAACACATACTTCAAACCTCCCCAAGTACTGGCTTGGTTTGTATAAAGTCCATCTAGAAAACAATACTAAATCTTCAGGCAAATGCAGAACAAAACTGGACATTTAACAATTATAAAAAATTTTAAATGTCACAGTGAAAATTCTCAAAAATATACAAAACATGTATTTAAGCTGCCTCCTTCTGAATTGTAACTTCGCCTCCCACATAAAGGATACCGTTGCAAATGAGAAAAGATACCCTTATCTGTTTGCTTTCCAGAGCACCTCTTTCTTCATCTAAACCACTTTAATTGGTGTCAAATTTTAAGTGAAACTAGTACATGGCAAGGGTGACACCATTGCTATGATGCAGATTTTCTAAATAAAGCGCTTTGTATAAAATTTTAAGTATTAAAATAAGTAGAAAAGGATGCCATTTGTAATATATCAGCCTGGCTGATGGCAGTGAAACCATCCATGATAGGAGCCCAACTCTTAAAAGTTTAACCAGTATTTGTGGGCCTCATAAAATAAAAAGATAACTGCAAGGTAATGTTACCAACATATACTAGTATCTCCCAGTGCAAGGAGCAGTCTTTTGACTGATTCTAAAACAAAAATACTCGGAAAAATTTTCCACTAACCTATTTAAATGTGAATGTCTATCTTCTAGTTGGAGTCCTTCATATTTTTGTTTCCAACTCAGAAAATGAAGATAAGGAATATACCCTTTTTTATTCTTTGTTTCTTAAGAGTATATAAAGACAATGTATTTCCTTGAGGAAGAGTAATAGCACAGAAATTCATATTTCAACAAAAACATAAAAATTACCAAACCAGTGTAATATACAGATTTGAGAAGCAAAGAGCACTAAAGGGCAATGCTGAAAAGCCCTCCTGAGTTTTAAGTAAACTATCTCATCAGGAGAGTCCAAGAACTCATAAAACAGAGAATGTATGTAAACAGGAACAGTTTACAGGGAAAACTGGAAAAAATACACAAGAAATTAAGGATAAAAGCTCCCTGCAATGGGAAGTAAAAATCCAATCACTTTGTATCTTTGACAAAAAACTCCCTGCCCACCCAACCATATAAACCCACACCTCAGAAGATAAATAATGGACAACCAACTTCAACTTACAGTGCAAACCATGATTCCAATGGCCGAGGGAGAAAAAGTAATAAACAGGATATACATTAGTTAATGTTCTATCATCAAAAACACAAACTTTGAGGAACGTGATGCTTTGTAAAAGCTCAAACTCATTCATGAAGCACTGCTTGTGCACACCGTGTATTCCAGACTTTTTCCAAGTAACACTCTCTAGCTTTTCAGTTTAGAAATGGCCAGCACTACTCCATTCAGAGGGGTCTGATTTCTCACTACATACAGAGCTTTTAAGTAATATGCACTAAAACACACTGTAAACTACTAATAGTTACAACAGCAAAAATAATAATCAACTCACAAAATGCATTTTGGCCATGTTTCAAAGAATACTTAGCAGGTCAACATCACCCTGTGTGATTACTGGTCTCGTGTCTTAGACATAGCAGATACCTAATAAACATCTAAAGACCAAGAACGGCAACTGAATTATGTAATGATTTTCTGACATCTGCCAATTTTGAGCTGAGACCTTAGATACCGACGCTGAAACCAAAGCATGTTATCAAAGGTGTTGTAATCCTAACCCTGAAAAAAATCCTGGTGACTGAAATTTTTATTTTCCAGGTATAAAGCATAGAAAAGTAGGCCCAGATAAGGCAAACAAAAAAGTTAATAACTCAGTGAAATATAAATGTACTTAAGGGATCAAGAAATCTTGGAGGGAAAAGCAGTTAAAAGACCATTGCGGTTTTATATACGAATCTGTTCATGCTGACAAACAAATTCCCATGGCTGAACTTCCGTAGCTTGTGAGGTACACACCACATGCATGAACTGTAAGACAGAGACGCCCCATGTACACAGAGGCTTAGGTTCTAAAGACATCAGCCGGTCTGTTTTCAAGTCACCACCGTGTGGCCCTAAACAGACATGGTATAAAACATACACACCTTCATGAAGGCCACCTCATCTCCCAACTCAGGTAAACACAAATAGCAACAAATAACTTCTAACTCAGTTTGACAAAACTTTATAGACTTGGCCCCTAATTAGAAAATAAATAAATAAAAAGAAAGTTGGTACAAAAGGGGCTAAAGAAAGAAAGGGGGATCTGGGCTGGGCACGTCATCCCAGCCAGCGGAAGAACAATCTAAACCCACCGTCTCACTATGCTTAACCCCTTCCAACTCTAAATGCCCCAGTCAGAAAAGAGCACAGCTCTTCCTGAGCCCCAGGACTCCCTGCATCAAGCTGTTACAGAGTCACTGAAAAATATAATACTTCACGTAACCAAAGGCTGCTTTTTCCCTTGAAAACACTTCATAGATGTGTGCTCATTTAACTAGGGTTACAGAGGACAGGGAAAAGTAAGCTGCTGGATTTTAAAGGCAATGCTACTGCTCCGTCATGTAACCAAAGGCTGCTTTTTCCCTTGAAAACACTTCATAGATGTGTGCTCATTTAACTAGGGTTTAACAGAGGACAGGGAAAAGTAAGCTGCTGGATTTTAAAGGCAATGCTACTGCTCCGTCGCTAGAATGTACTTTGAACTGTGTGTTTAATGAATTTAGAGGAAGCTGGTGAGAGTGTGGATGGCTCAGCAGAACCCATCACAACTGCAGGAAAACCTGGTGACTGGTTAGAGGTAAAGAAATCGATTTTTCTGTGGAGTCAACTGGCCTATGTGTGAGTCGAACCCTGCACCCTGGCATCATTAGCACCAACACTGTGAAGAACAGTTGTGGCAGAAACACCGCCATGGCCCCCATCGCTAGGTTCAGTAGAAAGGCTCTTGGAAGTTCACACAGGGTTCGGTCGGAACAGTCCACTTCCAATCAGGACGCAGTCCTCACAACTCTGTGAGGGAGGTAAGTGGTAGGACTCCCCTGCTATGAAGGAAACAGAGGCCCAAGTGGTTAAAGATTTTGCCTGAAGTTAAAACAAAAAATGAAGACTCAAGGAAGCCAACCTGTCACTCTGCACTTAGGCGCTATGAAAAGACATCTCAAGAAATCCTCCTTCGCCCTTGTGTGGTCCTTTGCAGGACAGACTTATGTCAGAGGATTCTTCACTGTCTCTCTCTTTCTGTGGGCAGATATACAGTCACACAAGTGCCTAGTCAAGCATTTTTCAATTTGTAGCTGACGGTAAGGGGAAGTGGACAGAGCTGGCAGGAAAGAATAAATACTGAACTAATAGGTCACTTACAGACATGAATTTTCTCAAATATAATTTCACAGGTCTAATCTCTTCCCTGTGCATACAAGACAAGTGCTTTTGTCTGTGACACCTACAATATTTGTACCACGTCACATAATCACATCGGAATTACTGAATGCACTGTTCACTAAAGCTTAATGTACCTGAATTCCACAATGAACTGAATGACTTATCTGAAAAAAAAAAATCACAGAGAAATATATCAAGTTTTCTTTCAAAAGAAAGTCCAGCCGTAACTCCATTATACCCATGGCAACTATCACCTGTTAATGCTCATGTTAGTGTATAAAAATGTATTCATTATATACAGAAAAGATTATCAAGTACTGGTCAATAAAGCGTATGGATGACCCTGAGAATAAATTTTGTTTACTCAAAAGATTGACTAAGTAATACAAAATGAAATGAAATTGAAGGATGCCTGTTCCTGTACTTGGGGAAAAAATGTCTTTAAAATGCTAACTCACCTACACTTTAATAAAGACATCCCCAAACACCAACACTGTAATTATATGATATGTTTCCAAAAATGTTCTGAAAATACTTACAAAAAAGTAAATGTTAGGAGCAAGGCATTAGGTGGTACACAGCATAGAAATCTGGTTTTTAAGAAAGTGACTAAACACACTGATAAACTATGTGATTGGTCATTAATTGGCTGTAAAGAGACAGCATTTTCATTGTACATCCACACACATATGCGCAAACCAAGAAAAACCAACCAGCAAAGCTTGGACGTTGTTAGTAATTGTACTGACGCGGGCAGGGCTGCTGGACCACCCAGCTGCTGTGCTTGACTTGCCGAGAGTGGCAATCCCTGGTAAGATTTTGGCGACGAAGGCTACTTCTGCTCAGAGTATGTCTTTCACCATGCTCTTTCATCCACTGGGAAGGACGAAGGCTCTTGGGCTGTTCCAGAAAAGTTGTGTGAGCAGCAAGAGCTGCAACATAGCAGTGAATGTGTTGCCCCATCTCACTTTGGGCTTCTATTCTGAAACAGAGAAGAGTGGGAAGCACTAAAGAACACAGCATGTTACTAATGTGCCTGAAAAGTCACTTCACAGTTCAGTGTGCCACGCTAACGTGTTTACGGCTGGATGAGAACTTAAGCATCTCGTGGCTGACAATTTTAAATTCTGTGACCACACTGACAGTGGTAGAAAGTCAACTTTCAGTAAAATCGGGCAGTGTCCACAGGTGACCCAGTAGACTGTATTCTAAAAATATGCTTTTACTTTGAGCAGATTTAAGCAAGCTTTTCTGTCAACATTTACCAAATATCTGCATTTGTCAGTTCTGTTGCAAATATTATCTATTTTCATTCTTACAATTTTAAAAGGAAAATATTTTAATTCCCAAATTTTACTGATCAGAAAGCATTGTACCAACAGCACCTTTACAGACTCTTTGTCTACAAGTAAAATGTTCTAGTAAACATGTTTCAAATCTGTATTTCATAGAAACACACATAAAGAAATTGTGACTTCACAATTTTCTAGGAAAGAAGCCACTGCTTATTGTAGAAGAGAGCTCCAAGTTTTTATTTATGGTACATTTGGCAGAATTTTTGTTGTTTTTTGTACCAGGGATCAAACTCAGAACCTTGTGCTTGCGAGGCAGGCGGCGGAAGCACTGAGCTAAATCCCGGGCATGTGCCACATTCTGGAATGGCATTTACGTGGCAACGTTTAAAGACCTTTGTGGAACATGTAATCTTAAAATATGGCTATAGAGTATATTATTTTATGTTTTCTATATTAAGAGCCAATCAAATAGATTGATCTAAACTGTATTAACACATAACATGAAGGATTTTAAGACTATTTTTTTTTTCTTCAGGGCTGGGGACTGAAGCCAGGGCCTTGCATATACTAGACAAGTGCTCTTCCATGAAAGTACCCCTCAGCCCAAGTTTTAAGATTTTAAGGGTTATTATACAAAAGAAGGGCAACTGCAAGAGAAAGGGAGTGGAGGGAGAGAGAGAGAGAGAGAAACTTGTATATTAACCAAGAAGTTAATATAAAGTGTTTTAAGAGGTGGTATTTGGGTCCCTGGCTTCCCTCTGCAGACTGATAACACAGATCACACAGTCTCACGGTGAATATACTTACTCTGTGCCCGAGATTCTTATAAGCAGCTTTTCCTGGCCCTACAAATGTTAAATGGTGAACTATTAAATCACTAGTAAGATCTAAAATGCTATTTTAATTTTACTGTTAGGACGTGGTCAACTTTATTAATACTAATTTACTATGGGTGATTAAAGGAACATATATTACTTAAGATTATGATAGCTTATGAACCTTCACAAACAGTACTTACAAAGGCTAAAATGCAAAAAACAAAAACCACACACTCCAAAGCCCACTGTAATTAAAAAGCACCTTACTTTTACATGCTTTATGGTAATATTCCTGAGGACAGACAGGATGAAAGCAATTTAACTTTTAAAAGACATACGGTTTAATGCCCTGCTTAGAAAACATACACTTTGGGGGTGGTGGAGTAAAACCCAGGGCTTTGTTGGTGCTAGGCAAGCACACTATTTAGCTATATCCTTAACCCCCAGAAAATATAGATGTTTATTAAATAGCCAGCTTACTAATTTAGGTAACATCTGATTCTACCTTGATATAGTAGACCACTCTTTTTTTTTTTTTAATTGAGTTTATTGGTACATTTAGGGATACAGTACAGTTACATTTATTAGTAGACCACTCTTAAAAGTATTTCACATAGAAAAATAAGGATGTTTAAATATTTATTTTAGTTACTATTATAAAACTATTATAAGAATTTGTAAGACTTTCCTATGTGCAGAAAGCACTCATAAAGTTCAGTGTGCTCTTCTGATACTTCATTTATGAAAAAAATGCCTGAACTGGTTTATCCTCTACAGGTTTGTTTATTGTTTTGTGGTACCGGGGATTAAACCCTGGGCTTCACACTGAGCTCCATTCCTAGACCTTTTTAAAATACTTTTATTTTGAAACAGGGTCTCGCTAAATCACTAAGTTTTCTGGGCTGAGTTCGAACTCATGATCCTCCTGCCTCAGCCTCTGAGAGTGCTGGGATTACCAGCATGTGCTACCAAGCCTGGCTAATCCTGTATATCTGTAACCTATGATTGCAAACACAAATGATACAAAAACAGCATCCACCACGCATCAAAAGTGCTGACGTATGACAAGTAGATGCAGTGCATGGTTATGGACTGGACACTGGGTTGGGCAAACGATGAAATATTCTAGGCTCTATTAGGAAAATGCAAGTATGATTTGGGTAGTAAAAATTTACTGAAGCAAAATGGTGGAGATCACTTTCTAAATAAGCAGTATAGAATAGTACATAAAGCATGATTCTGTTTGGATTGAAAGTGTGGGTGGGGAGGTATGGAAAAAAAACAACCTGGAAGGCTATGCCCTAGGCTGGTAATAGCATTCATCCCTGGGCCCCAAGAATGTCATTTCAAATTTTAAAATTTCTACATATTTGCATTTTCTGCAAGGCACATGTACTGCTTCTGTGTTATTTTGCAAAGCTACTGACTACACAAACACATGTATGTACTTTAAACACTGAAAAATATATAAATGCCCGTAAGCATAAAGTGAGTATTAATTATGCTACATTCTTGACAATAATTCCTCAGAAACAAGATGAGACTCTAGAGGGAAGAATTTTTTTCTTTTAGTACCGGGGATTGAACTCAGGACCTTGCCTGCAAGGCAAGGCAGGTGGCAACACCAGTGAGCTAAATCCCCAGCCCTAGGGGGAAGAATTTTTAAGAATTGAAGAAATTAAAGTTAACTATAAGGCAATTAAATACCACCTCCAGAAAGTTGTATTTTAAATTTTTGTTGGGATGCCTGAAAGGCTAACCTTTTGGCAAAATTATGGGACTGAATAAAGTGCTTTACTTACCAAAGATCTTACCCAGTCTATAGCCTGGCACTATATAACTATATTAGCATACTGTTTTTCATTTTGGTACAAGCAAAATGAAATGCAAAATGTTTAGCCTCATAAAAGACCACTTGCAATATTGAGACTTGAGAGCACAACAAACTGTAGGGAGTCAAGGAGCTGTCTGGGTGTTGTTTATATTTGGCAAACAGGAAATAGAAGATATATACAATGGTCTATTAGTGGAGTCAGCCTGGATGATCCATAGTGGCCCTCTGCCTGACTGTGCTTATCATAGTTTCTGAACTGCTGCACAAGACCCAAGTTCACCTGGACCCTTGCCTTGATCTATGAGAGGGAATTAAGTGGGTACCAGCATTCCCCGAATGCTCCAACACTACATAAAACTCTCCAATGAAAAGCATGATGGACCAGCTGGAATTTGAGTTAGTTACATGGTGGTGGGGCTTTGTTTTAGCAGGTGGGGGCAATCTTGGATCTACACTCTCAGTTTGTTCTCTGGATAAGGTCACAGGAGGTCTGGAAGTTCATTTTGGAACATGCCTATCTTCACTCAGTGGCACTCTCCCTGAAGTTCCCAGGATCTGCCTGCACCAGCTGCCATTCAGACTAACACTTAAGACCCCTGCACACCAACAAAACATCACATTGCTGTGAAATCTTTCCTCTATGAGGTAAAAGACAGCTCTTTAAGCAAATATTTTGGTTTGTAAACTGCTTTTTTTACCTTATGCTAAAAATTTCTAATGCTTTCAAGCTTAAGCAATATTTAATATGATCACTAGGACTATTTGGAAGAAAGAGTTTTGAGTCATACTATTTTCTCTGAATTTGATACCCTAAATAAACCAGTCTATACAGCATGCCAGAATTACACTCTAAGATATTTAGAAGAAATGCCAGTCTTATTTCCCTTCAGTAGCAGAAAATGAGATAGCTCTCTATTATATCACGGGGGCCATGCTATAATTAATTTAAAAAATCTAAAATGAACAAATTTTTATGACATCGATCACCTGTGTAATATGCACAAGCTTTCACATATCTGTCAAGACTACTTTTGCATCTTCTAAAAAAACCAAAATGCAAGCTCAGCAGACTGCTCTTGGAGAGAGAAAATACTTGCGATGTACCTGGGACTGCTTGGGTTGTGGAATTCATCGGTCCCACAGCTAGCCTCACTGAGGCCAGGGCAGGAGTTGTGCACAGCATAGACAGACATGCTGGGATGTTCGATGAGAAGGTTTTCCATAGGACTCGTTTCCACCTTGATAGTGGTTAATCCACCTGCAGTGAAACATGGGGGAGGGGTGATAAACCAGCTCTCCTCCATTGGACAGGATTCAAACTGGAGGAAGCAGGAATCACTCGTATCAGCCAAGCACTCCAAAGTTGCAGGTAAACAGGAAAAGACTGAAGGATGCTCTGTAGGTGACTCTTCATTGATGTCGTTGTCATCTTCTTCCTCTTCTTCTTCCTCTGCTGAGAAACCAGTGCAAGTGTCTAGATCAAGTTCCACATTACAGTTCACATGCATAGAACGGGTTCCACAGAAGGATGATCATCACATCGAGTGGTCACAGTGGAGCCGCCCATCAAATTCACAGCACAGAGAAAAGAGAGGCAATACCGTTAGCTGATGCTAACATTCTTTAGTTCAGAAACAAGATCATGTGCATTCACTCATAACCATTATAAAAGTTTCCTAGCACTGCATCTGGTGGTGGCAGATTACACTGGTTTTGCAGAATGGCTTAAGGACTGTTTCTAGTCTGCTAAATAAACACAGTGAGCATTACCACTAATTGTCTAATATGAAGGTTTTCTATTAAAGTACCTCTGGCAGGATCAGGCTGTAGGAATTGCAAAATTGGAAAATCTGACATCAGTTTCTCTGATCATCTGGCACAAAATGTTTCTTGATTTTTTTTTTCTTTTTTTTGGGTGGCACTGGCGACTGAATCTAGAAATCTTTGCACTGAGCCCCTCTTTAGCTTTTATTTTGAGATAGGGTCTTGCTAAGTCGCTCAGGCTGGGCTTGAATTTGTAATCCTCCTGCCTCAGCCCCAAATTGAGTAATTTTTTAAAAGACAAAGTCTTATTTGTTTCCTTTTAAGGTTTAAAAACCTTCAGTTACTGATTTACTTAGGTTAAAAAAAAAAAAAATGACACGCAAGCGTTTCTACTCATGTTGTTAAGATTAACCACTGTGTATATCTTACCTATGAAATCAACCAGAATCCATTCATCATCTTCTTTTTCACTAAATTCTAGTTCTCGGTCAGAAGCAATATTGACTTCACCCACAAACATTTTATTCAGCCTCTGGAACATTGTTAAGGCAAGAATGAGACTTTGGCTAGATGTCCTTGTATCTGAGATTTCAAAACCCTGCCTTCAGGGTTGGCACGGACAGGAAATTAAAGTGCACAGGGTGCTTAATTCAACTTAGGTGAAAAGCAAGAAGAGTCATTAGCCCTAAAATAAAACAGAAAAACAAGGTCATTTCACATCAGCAAATGTTTATCTTGTTTAAGTGCTTATCCACAATCCCTCACGAGAGAGCATATGCCTTAGTCTACACTACAGCTGCTCCTTTCCTACAGGAATCAAACACGAGACATATGGCAGCTTTTCTAAAACATCACGAATCAAGTACTCATATGCAAACTGTAAATATCTTGAACTGTGAAATAAAAGGGACAGAGCTAGATTTGTTCACATTTTTATGGATCTGAATTCATTTATTTCAATCTCAGTATCTCTTTTCTGTGGTAGGACAAAGAGTACAGATGAGTGGTCTTGCTGGGAGAGTCAAATGTCCAGAAGTCTTGTCCAAATCAACTGGGTAGTAATGCCCCGGGACCACCATTATGCCAGTCCCTCATCCCCCCTGCCCCATTTCTCCCTCTCTTCTGTACTTCGTGTATCTGACTTTAATAATACCTAAATACTGTACACTTCAAATTGACAAGTACAGCATACTTTGGCCTTCAAGACAGTTTCTACAGCTGGCATGAAGACTGTATACCACAGAAAGCTGAGCCAGGCGGCAACTAGAACTGGAGACACCATTCCTCGTGTGCCTCAGCAGGCAGATGCTGGAGCTGCCAGCATGCCAGGGTTCAAGTCCTGGCTCTGCTGCTTACTGGCTACAAGAGTTAGGAAGGTGCATGATTTTAGTTGGTAAAAGCTGCTCCCTCAAGTAGTTCTGGTGAGTTCTGAGTGATGCACTGCACCTTGTTTGGTCTTATCAGAGTTCCAGATTTCTATATCCACTTCTACCTGGCTGAGAGCATACCAAACTCAACAAGAACTTTTTATGTTCTTCCACAAACTTATTCTTGTGCCCTGCCCTTTGTCCTTTCTTAGTAAACAGCAGCAGCCCCAGCAGTTAGTTATATGGGGAGGAAACCAAGGAGTTTACCTTCTGCTGCTCCCTACCAACCCTTCTGCTCCCTTCCAGTCCTTCCCCTAACCTACCAGCAAGTCCTGTGGACTCTGGCTGCACCACTCTCATCCTACTTTAAGTCAGCCTGCTGTCTCTCCAAGACGGCCCCTACCACTCTTAAACTGCATTTATTGAATTCTACTGTCCAGATCCCTGTCCAAGTCCGACTCCCTGATCCTACTCTTGTTAAATGAGATAATGCAGGCAATGAGCTAATCAGCACTCCTGTTCTCTGCATTTTTCTGTCCAGGTCAACTGTTACTCCACAAATATTTACAGAGCATTTTAATGCAGCAGCTCTGGAGCTGAGCACGGGGGAGACAACTGTGAACAAGGCCCTCCCATGGCAGGTGGAGCCACCCAGGGGAAATGAATGCCCTGCAGAAACTGCATGGTCCTCAGACCTTGCTGGATGCACCACTGCAGTAAGTGGCTTTAGCCTTGAGTGGCTGAGAGATCAGGAATGGAGGGTGGACAGAAGAAACATTATAATTCCTGCAGACAGGAATGTGGCACCTTCTGGGTGGCTCTAGAACCAGACAGAGGGTCACAGGGAGCAGGCCGGGGACTAAGTAGGAACCAGATCCTGCAGGGTCTTGAAGGGCAGAAGTTAAAGGGAGGGAAAAAAATCAGAAATATTGGCTTGGTCATCAAAGTAAGGGTGAGACCATTTAGGAGACTAAGAAAACTGCAGAAAGTATAGGTTGTGCACTGTGAACGAGCTCAGTCTGGAGAGTCTGATGATAATGCAGATGGAGATTCTAGTAGGTAGCTGAATTTAGGGCTAGCTGGATGCACAGATCTGGGAGCTGTCAATACAAAGAGGGTGACAGAAATTCACTTTCCCCTCTCAGTACTGGGGAATTGAACTCTGCACCTCACACATGCTAGGCAAATGCTCTACCAGTGAGCTATATCCCCATGCTTTTTTATAACTTTGGACAGGGTCTTGCTAACTTGCCCAGGCTGACCTCAAATTTGTGATCATCCTGCATTATCCTCCCAAGTAGTTGGAATTACAGGCAAGTGCCCCTGTGCCGGCCCTAAACAATTCTTAACACAGGCATCAGTTTTACACCCATAACTTCAGGCTCTTTCACTTTCAAAGTAATCATCTCCAGCTATTCAAGTACTTAAGGCATGTAGCTGCTAAGGCTCCTGATTCATTATTTGTATATAAACTGGACTACACAGTTGTTTGGCACACAACTATGAAACATTTCAAGATAAATGACATAAGGGACACTTAGTGTCACAAGTCATCTTCAGCTATTAATTATTAAAGGAAGGTAAACAGGAAGTACCACTTGCATAACCAGTCTTTCTGAAACTCTGGAAAGCAATACAGCCAAATTATGACAGCTTGAGCACTAGTATGAAAATTCAAATTCAGCTTTCTGGACCGTGTAAGAGAAAGTAGGAAACAGACCGTGCAGTTTGTGGGCCCTATGGTGGGGTGTCAGCTGTCTTCCGGCAGATAAGCCATCCCAAGGTCTGATGTAAACGAAGGGGTTTGAGCCTATCAGTTAGGAGGGGAAAAAGGTGTCTGCAAAACCTTGTCTCATTCTGCATCCACCAAGCAGCTGAGATAATTATTCCCTTTACAAAGCACAGGGCTGGACTCTGGCCCTGCACCAGCTAGGCAGGCAGAGCCACTGGGTGGGAAGGGAGCTCACCACTGAGAACCCTTCGCTTGTCCTGAATGTGCACCTTGTCCACTGCCTGCGATGCCACCTGAGGGCAAGGCATCAGGGCTCAGGTCAGATGAACGAACGCCAGGCACAGTACAGGAAACACTGCTGGGCCACTGTGGCCGGGGCAGCTGAAGGTTCCCAAATGCAAGCTGCCCTCTCTGGCTACAGCTCCAGCCTGTGGGGTAGAAGCCAGCTGATGCCAGGACACCTGGGACCTTGCCACTGGCAAGATTCCCCAAGAGCTCTCAGCACAAGTCAGGATTCTTGGACTCCTGAAGTCAGAGGCAGCCTCCAGCCACTGCATTTCTCTGCACGGAACCAACTGTGGGTGGGCAGAGTGCAGAAGCCTAGCACTACTGATGTGACAACCTCCCAGGACTCTGTGGGAGGGACCCAGAATGGAGTCCGGGGGAGGGTGGAGTGCTGGGCTAGGATCCAGCAGAAGCTCTGCTTTTGGTTTCTAGGGCAGATGGCTGGAACTAAACACCTTAGCACTTCTGAGCCTGTCTCCATGGCAGAGAAATGGGTACACTCTGTAAGACTGCCTTTAAGAGGTCCCCCCAAATTTCTAGCACCATGAAGAACTGAGGTCAGTCTAACTACACAGAGTTCCTCCAGCCCAGCTTTCTGAAGGTATCATAAAGGACAGGGAGCTGCCGGAGACCCCCACGTACTAGCACTGCCCAGTGAAGTGGCCACCAGGCTCAGTAGATAAACGAGCGCATAGACTGTGACTATTATGAGCAAGACACTGCATTTTAAACTTTAATCCATTTACATTTAAAAGTTGAAGGTGGGCACAGTGTTGCACATCTATAATCCCAGCACTCTGGAAGTCTGGGAAACTTATCAAGACTATCTCAAAATAAAAAATAAAAAAGGGCTGGGGAAATAGCTTGGGGTGAAGGCCCTGGATTCAATTCCTAGTACTGAAAAAAAAAAAAAAAATAATGGAGTCCAATGTTTAAAAATGCTCAAGTATGTCTAGAAACAAAGTATATGAATCTAGCTTTTCAAATGTAAACTTTATGACATCTAAATTCAATCAAGTTTTTTCAATGAGAATTTAGCACCTGAATTGATAGGCTGTATGCGTATACAATGGAATGCATCTGAAAGACTAACTACCCAGTGTAAAATACCTCATTAATAATGTTTACCTTGATTACATGTTAAAAGGATTAATTTTTGATATATTAGGTCACATATTTATAAAATTAACATAATCTTTTTTACATGACTACTAGAATGCACAAGTGGCCCACACTATATTCTGTTGCACAGTGCTGCTCTAGAAAAATCTCCCTAAAAAACCTTAATGGCGTCTTCTCCCACAGATGACCTAAGGGCTGTCCCTGCATCACCACTGCTCCTCCTGAGCCTGGTTCCCACGTGGGGGTTTGGCTCTCCTTGGGGCTGGTTCTGTGTGGCAAAACATGGCTTTAGACTCTTGTCTTCTCTCCTCCTCACCTGGTCACAGACTCCTTGATGGTCACAAGGCTAGGGCAATGATAAAAACTGAGAGCTCTGGAGAAAGCAAAAGTCCCAAGAGGACAGAATGACAAATACAGCTCTGGGATTCAGCAGAGATAGAGGCAGGGAAGGGGAGGCCACAGGGCTGCTGCTCTCTGAGGCACCCTGTGAGCTCAGGATGCCTCAGCCCAGCAGGCTCTCCAGGGCAGCAAAGAAAATGTCTGGGCCCAGGCATTTACAGAAGGCAGACTTGTCCTCTCTTCCTGGGTGTAAAATACATCCGTGCCTCCCTTTCAAAAGTAAATCACATCTTTTTCACTACAAAATGAAAATGCCACATATAGAAATACAAGGAAAAGCATTATCTCATTGCTTTGCTGCAGTCATAGTTAGGATAGTGGTTCATTTTCTTCTAGTTTTTCTGTGTTTCTTTTCATTAAAGTTGTGGTCTGGTGAAAGCACAATTTTGTATCCTGCTTTGTTACTTAACATTTTGTCCTTAGTGTTTTCATATTATTGCGTGAGTAGAAATGCTTATGGGCTGGCTCTGGAGGAAGCCTGCTGCATCAGGACATCCTGGCTCTGCTGCTGCAGACTGTGAACTTGGGGTTGCTTAGTAACCTCGTGGGGGCTTTAATCTTCTCATCCCTAAATAGGAATGATACTTACAAAGCTTACTACTTCTTGGTGCTAACACCAGAATTGAGTGTGTAACACTCAGAACAGTGCCTGGCATGTAGGAGGCATTCGGTAAATACTAACTACAGATTCACTGCAGCCCAGCTGTGAGAACGAGCAGGTCAGTGAGTGTCTTTGGGGCTAAGCTTATCTGTAAAATGTCCCTACAATAATGAGAGCTACATTTATATGTGACTGGGACTTTGAGTATTTGTGCCATTTTACTGATGAGAAAACCGAGTCTCAGAAATTAACTTGTTCAAAAGTGACAGAACCAGGCATAGGTGGAGCCAGCATCACAGCACCGATCCCTCTCATTCCAGTCCCTCGCTTTTCTCTGCACATGAACTCTCAGGTTCCTTCCGGCCTCAACTCTGCTTCTATGAGCCAGAGAACGGCGCCTTTCAGTTAGTTTTCGGCTGCCAGTAGGCGGCTCCAAAAAACAATATTTTTAAATTGAAAGGAAAAAAAAAAAAAAGGAAAGAAAGAAAAACAAGCACAACTTTGATGCATGCAGCTGTGGCTCCTGGACAGTTTCGGAATATCAGGTGGCTAAAAGCACCTCTGTTGAAACACAGCTTCAAAATTATCTTCCTCTTTATATCCACCCCCTCCTAGTGGTTTAAAAAACTACAGATGCTGATTCAAATACTTTAAAATCACTTTCGAACTTCAGAAAAACAAAGCCAAGAAAGCTGTCTTTGCTCGTTCCACCTCTGCTCCGTCTATTCAGTGGTTTACAAGGGACTCATTCTCCCACCAACCCACCACTGCCTCCTGCGTCCCTGGACAAAGACAGCAGCAGTGAGTGGTACTTCATAGCCTGTTAACCTTGGATTCTGAAAGCAAGGACATTCCCAAGAGAAATCAGAGAGCGCAGAACAGAACAAAAGATAGGATGAAAAAACAAAAAGAGACCTTAGTCACAGAAATTAGTAGGTCCCACTTCCAGGCAGAGGCTGTTGAGAATTATGCTGCCAGTTCAGATTTTGGCTTCGATTTAAAATCAAAAGCTTCCTGGTACTTTTCACACCTGCAAATGAAAACGGTATTTCAATTACCAAGCAAAAGATCTCAGGATCTTGGGGCAGTCATTATGAATTCTGTACAATGACCCAAGGCTCCTATCTCATCCCCACCCCCACGCGCCCCTCTTTTTTCTCAAAACTCTTTGCCTTCTTTCTGCTGAGGATGCCCAAGTTCTTTTTAGGAGGCACAGAAGGAAGGAAAGGACCTCCTTAATCTCTAAATCGGAATCCACACACCAGGTAATTGTGCTCAGAAAATAGAGTCAAAACAAAGAATTCTCAAGTAAAATTAATTTGCAACTCTGAAACTGCGAACATTTCCTTTTAATTGGCCGTGTGGCCTTAAATCACCTAATCTCTCTGTGCCTCGTTCGAACTTCCTTTCTGTAAAATATACTTAGGCCCGCTCCGCCGGGTGGTGGTGACGACCAACCCGGATAACTGAAAGCCCTCACTGGGCACGGACGCGGCACATTCCGCCGGTGACCGAGGTGATCGCGACTGAAAGCACGGCGGGGACGGAAGCGCTCGTGCCGCAGGTGCAACCTCC